TAGGAGGCTAACGGCTCCGAGTAGGCTGCTAACGGCTCAGAGTAGGAGGCTAACAGCTCAAAGTAGGAGGCTGGAGTAATTTCCCAACATCAACACATAGATGTTACATGCAGTGAGAATGTTGCTGAAGGCAGACTGTTTAAACACTGATGAAAATGTCTTACCAGCAGCACAGGCATAAAAAGAGTTATGAAGTCATAATCCGCAGCAGCAATCGATTTTGTAGAGAAGGGAGAACAAGACACAGATACAGTAAAAAATAAGTAATTATTAATTTGTTGCAGAACAACAGTACTTTCAGATTAACGTAGTGTGCTGCTCATTAATAAATGGTGGTTGTATATTTTACCATCAACTCATGTTCTGCAGCTGCCTGAGCTGAAAACAACTCCACCTTGCATTGCTCTGGGAAGTTTGTAAAGATTAAATCTGTTCAGCAGGAGTTTCACATTTGTCTACTTTTGTTATTTTTGTCTTCTCTACTTAGCTAATGTTTACTGTTTATAATGTTCAATCTAAATGTTATTCATCTTCCACCTCTTTATATCTTATGACTGCGAACCCAGTTATTGGATCTGTTATTTCATATAGTCTAAAGCACGAGCCATACTCAAGCTCCACAGACCAAATCTGAATTAACATTTATGTGCCCCCTATGATAATATTTTAAGTGTAGCTCTCAGATTAAATCAGAATAAAAATTAGATTAAATTAAAATCTTGAATGCAGCTCTTATATCTAGCTACATCTGCTGTAATGGTCCCTGGTGGATTTTATTTGACTCCTGTCTATTTCATTGCAAATACAGACGACAGGTTTAGTCTGTGTATTAAACATTTTCTTCACATAATTAATTAAATAAAAAGAAATGTGCTGGATAAAACCACAATATGTATTCTACAAAATAACTTCAGCAAAGTTATGTTTAGTAAAAGTGGGTCTATAGATGGAGTTTTCTGTTTCTGGGTATAATTGATGTGTGAAAATTATGTTGAGTATTTTAATATGTTAATAATAGCTGCAGACTTCTTGTTATCAGTTCTCAGGACTTGTAGTTAATCTCTTTAATCCCATCTATAAAAGATCCTGTCTTATTACGCTGGCTCCATGCAGAGGTATAGATGTTTTGGTGGCCATTTTTTGTGCAGTGGGTACAACGTGGGCTGTAAGAGGGCTTCATAACTTTGTTATTAGGAAGTACTTGTAGTTTATTAAGTGATACAATTAGTTACACAAGTTTCTCAAACATCATTTATTTTATGTTTTTTATAAGAACGTTTACACTTGTGTTGTATTCAAGATTTTTATAAAAATGTTATCTGATATAGTTGATTTTGTTTATAGAATAGTCACTGGTTCCTCAGGTTAATGAAGACAACTTGCTCTGTGGGTTTCTCAGAATAGTCTTGTTATTACGAGGTTATATGGTGCAGAGGATGTTTTGTGAAAAAAGTACAGCAAGACAAACTTGTAATGTTCAGCATTTAAAGAAATCATGGTAATGCAGTTTTCAAGCAAGATCTCAGATAAAGTTCATCTTAAAGACCAGCTGTCAGTGTGCTACCTTCGTAATACACTGATTTTGTCATTTTTTATTAATCTTAATAATTTAGTAAAACGTTCCTCAAAAGGCAAAAAAAGGCAGATTTCATATATGAATACGTGGTAAACGATGAATCTAGGTACCGGTCTGTACAGTCTCAGCTCAGGCTGCTGCAGACAGCTGGTGTTAAAATATGAAAACTGTTAACTGATCCACAAACTGTGTTCATCTGAAGGTATGGTTCTGCAGCAGAGAAATCATTTCTTCCTCCGTCTGTGTCACATTTTCCCTGCACTTTTCATTTCTTCTTTCCCTGGGCACCGGAGAACTTTGCTTGTTTACATGTTGTTTGTGCATTTTGGGCTCACGTGAGCACCCGAGCAGTGAGGAAGGGGGGAGGAGGATGAGATGGGGGAGGGGGTGACCTTACGATCGGATCTGAGAAGTAAAATAAATTTTAAGCTGAGTTTTTTTTTAAATCTGTAACTTTCCCTATAGGTCCGTAGTCATAAATAATCTGTATAATTAATGGAAAATCACTAAGACTTGACAAGAATGTTGATGAGGTGTATACTACAATCAGCGACAGCATAAATGGAAAGGTTTTTTTTATTTATTGTTTGCGTCAGTCAGTGTAGGCGGCGTGGGACACTTGGGTAGGCCCTCTGCCTGTTATTGAGAAGGAAGGGACAAACTTAAAGGCCGTGACTTTACAGGAGTAAAGAGTAGCCAGGTTGGGTTTTGGGTGGTCCCCTCTCTTGGATCGTTTTGGGCCGCCCATTTAATATGGGGTCTACTTCCCCCTGTCGCCCTCCCTTTCGGTGGCGGGCCCCCCTGCCACAGGCGCGTTGGTGGCTCTTGGCATCTGGGGCTGGGTGCTTGGGTGTGTGCCGGCCCGCCCTGGTGGCTGCTTGGCGGGGCCTGGGTGCCCTGGCTCTGTCAGGCCTCTGCGGGGTAGTATGACCTCGGGGTTTGGTGTCCATGGCCGGATCTGGTCCGGTGTAGCGGGTTGCCGGCGGAGCCTGTGGGCTCGTCACTGCAGCCTCCTGGGGCTTCTGCATTGAGGCTGCTGGGGAGGTGCAGTTGTCCCTGTCGGGGGACTCCTGGGGCCACTGGGTGTCTGCGGCTTCGGTCTTCCCTGTGTCACCATCGTGTCCTGTGGGGATGGGTCTGTGGGTCCCCACATCCACTATTGAATATTCTTATAGAGAAACCTTATAGTGACGAGCATGCTCACACGGGTGTTTAGATCCAGGTGTTTATCAGATACACACTCAGTTGGGTTGTGGTGGTCACTAAATACATCTTGTATTACCATGTACCATATAAAATATGTTCTAATGATGTTATAAGTATCATTATATATGTTGTTTGTTGTTGTGGTTTCTTGGTTTTGTCTTTTTTCTTTCCGCAGGTCTAGAGGCAGACTTCAATGTTGATTTGTGTTCTCTTTATACTTCTCTCTCCTCTACTCCTATCTCCTTCTTTCCCTTTTAACCCTTCTCCCACTTTTCTTCGTTGTTTTTCATACCTCTGTCCATTACACCTGAAACAAACCCAAAGCAATTCTAAAAAAATTAAAAAATTTAAAAAAGAGTAGCCACGTGTCAAAAGTTACCTATAGAGGATTCTGCGGTGCTGGTCTTCCTTTCAGTGTCACTGATGTCTTGGAGGTCTGCAAGCAGGTCCTTGATATCTGGCCTATCCTCTTTAGACGCTTGAAAAAACAAGCAAACATAAAAGTAAGCATAACTAATAGATCAGTAAGATTTTTGCAAAAGAAGCAAACATTTTATGGTAAACTCACTTGCAATTTTTCGAGGTTCACTTTGCTCAGATCTTTCCCGAGAAAGATTGGGACTACGACTGTGGTGACTTTGTTTCTGCTTGTCTTCATATTTGTCCGGTAGCATTCGATGATGGGACGGCACTTGAATGGAAACAGTTTTGTTAATAAAGAGTTTACTGTTCAGCAGGTTTACAGGATTACACTTTTACAACAGGGTAGGACCCTGATCCGAGATAGTTTTGTAGTTTAACCCTTGAGAACGTGTCTTCCTTACATCTTGTATTCTGCGTTAACAACACAGCTAATGGTGAGGCTGCATGTGTGTAGTTTAGCTCAGCTGAATTAGTTCTGCTACCATGAACTGTTCAAAATGAAGCAAATCAAATATGCACTTTTCTTCTCATGGCCACTTTTTTGAGGAATTGTTTTGAAACAACCAACCAAGAAAAAAGTGTGAAAAAATTGCCTGTATTGCTGAAAACACTGACTTTCTCGTCGAGTTCCTCTTTCTTTGGGTCGATCGTCGGCTCTTCGTTCCCAGTCCTTGAACTCCCGTTGCTCTTTTTGCTGTTCACGAAGCTTTCGGTCTCGCTCCCGCTGGCGCTCCAGCTGCTCCAGACGATCCCTTTGGTCCGGAAATAAAACCCCACTAAACAAATGTTCAGATACCACCTTATCCTAGACTTTTCAGTAATTTCAGGGTTTATGCAAATCTGCAGTAAAACCAAAAACAGAACATCTATGCTAGGTTTACGTTTCTAATAAGGTTTAACATGAAAAAAGATAAACACATATTCTCAAAAAAAAAGCTTCATGGTCATTAGAAAAAGAAAAAAAAAGTCCCAACACTCGCGAATGCTTTTCCAGACATAAAATGACTACCGGTACTTTTTCTTATGGATGCTCACCTCTCTCTGCGTGAATGAGCCCTGGCCTCGTCTCTTCGTTTCTGTCTTTCCCAGTTTCGCCGTGCATTGTCTTCTTCCCATCGACGCTTCCTACGATCGCTGTCTTGCTCTTTATCTTTAACTCGTGCGTGCTTTCCTCCTATTTTAGTAAAATAAACATCAATGGAAGTGGCACATACTGTAATTTTTATTTCCATTTACCCTTTATTTATACAGGTAGTCTCATTGAGCCACGAGAACTCATTTTCAAGAGAGACCTGTTTAGGGAGCAGATGGAGGTTAAGGGCCTTGCTCATGGGTCTAGAGTGGGGCGAATGAGGGTGGGGGCAGGTGTGAGTGCTTCACCTACCCCACCCACATTTTAAATAACATGTTGCATTGTCAGAATATACGTGAGACTATGTAATTATAAGCATCATCTCACCTCCTTCAGCAGAATGACTGCGGTGACGCCGTTTGTCTTTTCTTTTCTCCTCTTTCCTGTGGTGAGATTTGTCCTTTCTTGCAACCTGCTGTGGGGGTTTGATTGCTAGTGAATCATCCTCCTCTCCTCTAACATAGATATATAAGAAAATCATTATTAAACTTCCCAAAAACAAAAAAAATTCCATATACTTTCAAAAACTAAATACCGGTAACTCTCTGACTCTTCTTCTTTAGATGTAAAGTCTGTGAGAAAAGGGAAAAGTACCTGTCTTCTGTTGAGTCCTCCCTTGTGTATGGGGAATTACGAATTGTTATTTCCATTCTTTGATCACGTAGTTCTCCTTCCTCCGGAGTGTCTCGTTTGGATTCCCGATCATTCGACTGTGAAACAAGTTCCTGTGAGAACTGTGAGAAATAAATGAATCAAAATTTGTAATCAACGCTATCAACCATCAAAATGTTTTCAGATAACTATAACAGACACATCAGATTACAGAACATGTATGTTACAGTTCACATTAGTTTCTTATAAATATATGACTAAGAAACGTTAACTGTTCTCACCAGAGCTAAAAAAAAAAAAAATATGCCAAGAGCAGTGAGAAAATTATAAAATTTTAAAAAGTGTGGCACATTCACAAAAATAAAAAAATCAATCTATAAATAAAATGTACCAATTTGTGGCTAAACGTAATTCTAATATTGCCGTTTCTTTATTTTACGTACGTTTTTCTGGCGCTTATTGTCTGTTTTCCCTTCTAACTCTCGTCTGCGTTTTTTCTCCAACAGGATTTCATCAAGAGTTTTTACTTTCCAGGTCTCTTTTTCGTCCCCCATCAGCGTCCAATCTCCACCACCTGCTTCAGATTTCAAACAAACACAAGGATGTACCATTCCTAATTTAGATTATTTTCATCTCAGTCACAGAATAAATCAAACTACGCATGCATTGCATTGAACTATATAAATGTTGTATAATCCTAATCTCTTTACTCTATAAAGCACCCTGATAAAAAGTTAATTTTGTTTATTTAAAACATGTAAAATCCCATGAAAGAGTGCTTTACATTCAAATCTGATAGGACAGCAAAAGAAAATATAAAAATAAAACTGGAATAAAATGACAACAAATTCTACATTTAAAATCTTTGCAAAAATAGAGGATATTTTAAAAATCTTGTGATTCGTTTAAATTAAAAGCCAAAGTAAAAAAAAGGTCTTAAGAAGAGATTTAAAAGTCCAAGATAGTCATATACTGAGAGGTAAATTGTTCCATAAATTTAAAGCAGCCTTTGCAAAAACCTGATCACGTTTATATTTTAATCTGTATGTCGGAACATCTCAGAGAAGCTGATTGATAAAACGGGGTATTCTTCCTGGTGAGAGGAAGACGAGAAGAGCAATTAAATACCAATGACCTATCAAAATACTAAAACTATTTCCACATAAAACAATTGACTAATGCTCCTTTTAGTTATTATTTAGTTCCCCCTTGCTCTGTTGATCTTATACAGCATCTGAGAGGAGATTTAGACTAACCATGTCTTTGTTTCCATGCACGTCACTTCTAGTACTCAATAACACTCCTAAATTAAAAAATATTCAAAGTCAGTTATAGGAGCAATTCTCTTACAATTAATTACAAACTTTAATATTTTTGTCACTTGAGAAGTTGCTCTGTAAGCACACTATAAATAGTAAACCACAAAACATAATCATTTATGCAATAATTTGATAATAACAAAATTTTCTTGGCCATGAACCCTTTTTGGGATACCTTTTTTAAAACAGTTTGGCATGTTTTATTTCATAGATTGTCAAAATGTATTACTTTTTAAACAATTATATTTACCCCAAAAAATGGAGGCAAATAACTGATTAGTAAGCTTTTGATTAATGAACTAGCATAAATTTCAGTTGGTTCAGTTCAACCTGATGTTTGTTAGCAAAAATAAACCAACCGTTTCATAACATTCATGCATCGCGAGGACTCTACCTAATAACAAATTTCTCACTCAAGTGCGTGAATCAATGAATGATTCAACTCAGAACCATGAGCTTTACTGTAGAGCTAAACCAGGCATTTTACCAAATTCTGAGAGAACTGGTTATCAGGCTTTAAAGTAGCAAAATATGCCTGAGCAATGATCGTTATTATATCTTCTGAACTATATTTAATGTCGAATTTCAGATCACGTTAGCTAGCAAATGTTAGCTAAACTAGCATCAATTGCTAAACAACTTCTACAGCTCGTTATTAAAGTCGGATAAAATTACTTTATATATTTAGTACTTCTGTAAAATCGGGTACGCATAATGGTATTGGTGGCTTTAAACGAAAACCCAAATATAGAGTAATGTAAAAACAATTCACTGGGAGGACGAAATGGTTAAACAGACCTGTAAAACGCGCAGCAGTGCTATGATCACCGGAAGTCTCTATACTTCCGTAACGTCAAAAACGTCCGATGTGAAACAATGATTTCCGGTAATAACTAAAAACTAAACAATACTCAACTAAACGCAAATAAAATAAAATCATCAGAGTTTTCCGTTTTTTATGTACCAGTTTTACCAATCCAACATTGACAAATCTATTGTGTTCTTCATTCTCATGATCATATTTAGTCGTCAACTTTATTTATAAAGCACATTTAAAACAGCTGTTACAAAAGTGCTTAACAATAATATCAACAGCAGTAATTAAAGAAAAATAAAAACAAGATGTAATTAAAAGCATATAAAAAAAACAATGAAATGCTAAATCAAATCACACTGTGTTAAACGTCAGTGAAAACAGGTATGTTTTTAGGAGAAATTTAAAAGCAGGGAGTGTTGTCTGTCTAATGTTGTTAGGCAGATTGTTCCAAAGTTTATGGCCTGAGACTGAAAAAGCCTGATCTCCTCTGAGCTTCAACCTGGTTTTTGGTACAACCAAAAGCAGCAGGTCAGATGATTTCAGTGCCCGAGAATATATGGTTTAAGTAGGTCAGAGAGCTGAGGGTGCACGGCCATTTATGCACTTAAAAGTCAAAAGGAAAATTTTTTAATCAATTCTGGTACGCACAGGGAGCCAGTGAGGAGAGGACAAAACAGATGAACTATGCTCAAACCTACGAGTTCCTGTTAAGAGCCGAGCTGGAGATGTGAAAGGGAGACCTGACTGACCCCAACATAAAAAGTGTTATTAGTCTAGCCGGGTTGTAATGAATGCTTAGACTCTTTTTTTCACAGTCAGATCTGGTCAAAAGGGATTTAAAGGAACAAATAAATGTTTAAAAATATGAAATGTTGCTGTTATTTTGTAACATCTAATCTATTCGAGACAAACCAGAGATCCATATTCACTGCTGAGCCAAAACAAGAAAAACAACTTAAATAGAAAAGTTTTAAATTACCTCATAGAAATGTAATGCACTGGGTATTGTGAAGGGTTTTTAACATGCATTTGTTTTGCTTATCTGATATGATGAAATTAGGAATTTAATGCAACACATAACTGAACCGTCTTTTAATCACGGTGAAGAAGTCATATACTGAATTTCAAGGCTAAGATTTGATGCAGCCGGTAGATTTATGACTGGATGGCTTTAGTAAACACATGCACTTTGACCCAAGTCTCACGCAGTACAGGAGGCACAGCCCTCAAGTTGTGCATTAACAGGAATGCAACTAAAACTGGTTGGCGATAGACACAGGTGAGCGAGACAATATATATTTTTAATGTTCTGAAATAAAAAAAAACTTTGCTCAAGATGATATGAGCATTTTATGTATTGATGAGGTTATGTAAATTTTCTACAGCCAATGGAGGTGTAAAGATTTTAAAAGTAATCAAAGAGCAGTGATTTACCTTTAATCTGCAAACTTATGATACATGCCACTTGTTTTGTTTAACTGTATAAAACGTAAGTAAAAGTAGCTTTCGGTAATTTATAATTATGTACAAACTTTAGCTATTTTAAAACAGGAGCAGGACAACTTACCAAAATTTAAAGTAAAGATTTTATTATTGGTAAATTTTAGCTGTGTATTTTTGTTTACAATATAATGTTAAAATGTTATTGCAAGATCCATTCATTATCTTTTACCCGCTTCTTCCATTTTGGGTCACGGGGGTCGCCGGTGCCCATGTCCAGCAATCACTGTGCGAGGGGCGGGGTACACCCTGGACATGTCTCCAGTCCATCACAGGGACACATGGAAACAAACAACCATTCACTCTCTCACTCTCACCTAGAGACAATTTAGAGTTACCAATCAGCCTAACATGCATGTTTTTGGTCTGTGGGAGGAAGCCGGAGTACCCGGAGAAAACCCACACATGCACGGAGAGAACATGCAAACTCTACCCAGAATGGAACCCCGGACCGGGATTTGAACCAAGGACCTGCTCGCTGAAAGGCAGCAGCTCTTTTACTACAAGATAACATAAAAAAAGTAAAATTAAAAAATAAATAAATAAATCACAATAAACTGAGAAACTGGAATATGTAGGTATTGCAAGTATAAAATGAACATTTCAGAGAGACAGAAACGTTCTAACTTTTTACATCTAGAAACTGGCCTGATATGAGTGAATCTGCAGAAATGTTTGTGTAACAACTATAATTGTTGTCTTTATATACTCAGGCAGCACTGAAGGACACATGCTCACTGTGTGGCATTAAAAATGTTCTGTTTCCAGACTGGACATTGAGTGAAAGAGTGGATTATTCAACTGATACATTTTTGAGAAAAGGAACAAAACACCCCAGATGGAGTCCAACGCTGCGGGCAGCGTGCGCTACAATCGCTGGAACGAGGACAACACCAACATGAGAGTAGAAGCTTCACCGTCTACTCTCAGAAGGTGTGATGATGGTGTTGCTCAACATTAAAGGTGTAAATGTGAAAAGTACATTCAAATGCCTGTCAGAACAATTTGAAGGGATTTAAAAAAAAGTGTGATAATGATAAAAATATACATTTGATAAGAATTTCAGTTGGTAAAATCTTTACGATTTAGTGTAATAAGTTTTTCATATTCTCATCTGCATTTCACATTTAGGATCTACAACAGGGTGTGTGCCAGCAGCACTGGATGAGCAGTGAAGGTGGCAGGAGCTCTAGCTGCACTGGGATCCATTTACATTGTAGGATATCTGACAGGATTCTACGTCCACCAGTGTGGAGCGTGAAGACCAGTCAAGAAACAAGACACTGGAATTTGTGTAAATGTACAAATTAAAACCTTCTGTACTGACAGATGTGGGATTGTTGAGAATGACAAAGGACAGACTATTATTTTTAAACATATAAGAAATTATTTATTCATTTGAGATGCGTCTTCCAAGTGAGAATTTGTCAATTAATGATGCTAATAAGGCGTAACGGTGCATCAATACAAAGTTACCTGAATTTCAAACAGGCCAAATGAAGTAATGTTTCATGCCGAATTCTATACACTTTTTAAAATAAAACTGTTCTACTGTCTGTGGACTGTAGTTGTCAGGGCCGGCCCAAGCCTCCATGGAGCACTAAGCAAAATTTGGTTTGGGGTCCTCTATTTCTGCTAATAATGTGGATTACTGCAACCAACAGTCAGATGATCAGATCATTCACCCATCAAACATAAACTCATTGCAACTCTGACAGCCCTGTTTACATTATCCTATATGTTTATATCATCTAGTCGCAGGGGTGTCAAACTCATTTTAAGTTAAGGCCACATTAAGCTCAAGAATGTCCTCAAAAGGCTGGACATGGCAGAATGTATTGATAAAACCACCTATTAACAAACTGGTAAAGTATAACTTCCTCTGCATTTGAAGACTACTTCTAAAAATTTTATGTTTGAGTAATTTGCTATTAAAAACATAAAAGCTGATTTTGATTTGACTGTTAAAGTAATATTGAAGCACACAACTGTTATTTTTGAAGTTCTGTTTCTGTGTCTCTAGGGTGTAGAGAAATGGTTATGGGGAACCGGATTTGGCCCAATTGAGTTTAACACATGTGATCTAGTGGTACTAAAAGTAACAAAAGCAAAAGAAAAAAAAAAAAAAACACCAGTATGCAATGTATTTTACAGCAAAAGTGTCATCTGGTTTATTATCTTTGGTTCCAAAGAACTGCAACATTAACGTTCACAATAATTTGAAGTGCAAGATCAACAACAAACAACAGATAAAATATGGTAACTTATGCATAAAAATTAATTAAATTCTGCAAAAACAGACAAAATTGAATAAAAAATAAAATATCAAGGAAATACTTAAATAATGTAAATAAACAATTACTTGACAGTTTGAAACCACGTGAAGTGGTTTAAAAAAAAATAAATTTAAAGTTGAATAATTAGTTCTTAAAACTATATAAATATATGCAACAATTTGTAAAAGCTGAACTATTAAACAACCTTTACTCCTACATTTTACCGGTTTGTTACTTCTTCCTCAACACTTCACAAACTTCCTAAAACCTGTTCTTACACTTAGGGCGCCCCCTAGTGGCCCTGGGGCCCCAAGCAGCCGAGAAGCAGTCGCTTATGCAGCCCTGGTAGTTGTATTCTTCTCAGATAAAAACAAGAAGCTGTGTTTTCTTATTTGAATGCAGCTTAAGTTTAAAAATAGGTTAGGGATATTTTAGATTTTATTTTTTTTTTGTCACAGCTTGGATGTACAGTACATTTTTAAACACCGATTTCTCACCCAAGCAAATGATTCTGATAATTTATTCATGACATTATTTTTATTTCCAATTGTTTATAAGTATCACGGTAAATGAAGGTAAAAATGTAGCACCTAATCTAAAGAATATCAACTTAAACCAGTGAAATCCTAGGGGTGTCAAACTCACTTACAAAAGGGGGCCAAAATTAAAACCTTTTTTCAAACTAAGGGCCAGTTTCAGAATCTACATTAACTTAAGTTAGATACCCAACATCTTTTCTTGGTTGCAGGTTCCTCAAAAAAAGTTTGATTGGTCTCGTTTGATGTTCTCTTTTGCACTTTTGACATCGTAATCAAAGATTACTGAAAACACTCAAGTGAAAAAAGTATTTTATATTTAAAATATCATCTCGGGGGCCAGATGAGATGTCAACAAGGGCCACATTTGGCCCCCGGGCCTTGAGTTTGACATATGTGGTGTAAACGAATAGCCTTAACTTAGAGGATTTGTATTTATTTATTTAATCTTCAGAGTGGCAGTAATAGGGTTCCGTACTTTATAATTTCTCAAATCTGTATTGTCTTTCATCTGCTGTGGTTATATTTTTTTAGGCTTGCCACTTTAAAGGTTTTTAAAAAAGTCTGCCTCCTTTGAATAAACTACCGTTTGGGTGATTTATAACTTTAGTACTGTTTGTACCGTATTAATGTTTATAGTTGTACTACAGTCATGGTAGTTGTGGTCCACTTCCGGGTTCCGTGGGGGGAACTCCGCCAGAATGACGTCACAGCCTGCAGCTATCAGAGGTGGATCCGCTGAAGGAGCTCCGCCGCTCGGCCTCAGCTTGTCTGGGGCAAAATGAATCATGGATGAGGAGGTTGCCGAAAGTTGGGAAGAAGCTGCTGATAGTGGGGTAAGTAATAAAAGAGACAGCGTGTCTTTAGTTTTAAACGAGTTTATTTTGAGGTGCACGCTGTTGTTGACGGGAATTCCCTGTAAAAAGTTCTCCCAGCGCTGCTCCGTCTGTCAGGCGACTCCACGGGCCGACAATGTGGCTAACGCCAGTTTCAAGAAGCTTTCAGAGTTAACTGGCGTTATCTCTCATTGTAGTCAAGGTTAATACAAACTCACTTGACCAGCTAACGTTAAGTATTTAAATGTTTTGTTCAAACAATGTTGATATGATCTAATTTTTGTTAGCAAACGTGGATTTTGAGGGGCTAGCTACGGAGCGCGCTAAGGTTGATGCTAACGTCAAGCTACGTAACGCCGGGCTCACGTTAATGTGACAGTTGGGTAAAAGTTTATGTATTTGGCAATAAAACACCTCACACGAGACATGTTACGTCCCCTTTACCACCTTATCTCGTAAATAGTGACTTGCCGATATCAGTCGCGTGTGTTCTCAGTGAATGTATGTTAATTTGCTGGATTATCTTGATTAAACGTGGCTCAGCAGGCCAGATTATTGGGCAACTTTTCTGACCATGTTGTCAAGACGGAGTTCGAGCTTGTGTAGTTGACAAACGAAACTGGTCGGTTGCTACATTCAAAAACTTCACTGTGTTTTGACACAACTTACTTTTTGAGCAGATTTTTTATTTTTTTTGTCTTCTGTTTGCACCATTTTCACATATTTTACTGGTAACACCAAAACAGTTTATTTTCTAACTTGTTTTCATTGTGTCAGACTTTCTTCTAATGTTTCACATCAGTCTTAAGCTGTAGTTTCTCAGTGTTCTGTGTGTTCAAGTCAAGCCCTCATGTAGAACCATTTTTTAGAGGGTTATGTATTTGTGTTTTTGTTTGTTTGTTTTGCTTATAGTCTCTAACTAATAACGTTCAGGTCAGAAGAGAGGCACATCTGTAACTGTCTCTATCCGTCTGACAATCTTTGTGTAACTTCACATGACTTGGGCGTCCGTTTCAGTCGTCAGTGTTTGACAGTCCTGGGGGAAATGATTAAATTATAAATGTAGACGACTGTTAATGAGATTTGATCCACTTTGCAATGATTTTCAGAACGTATGTGATTGGCACCAGCCTGATTCCAACGTGTCACCAATGCAGTTAAAGTGTACCTGGATATTAAAAAGTCTGGATTTAATATAGGGGTGCACTGATTGCAGTTTCCTGGCCGATCATGGATTTCCAAAAAGCCTGACCTACCAAAACCGATTTTGTTTTATACGCAACACTGTCAAGTGTTATAAGGTCGTAACGCACCTTCAATTTTCCAATCTTGTTTTGTTGAAAAACCTATCCTTGAACAATATCCTAGAAACAATACAAACATGTTTTAACTGGACATGAGGTAGGGATATAAATGAAGTTCAGACAATTGTTAAAACTACAAAAAACAATCGGTAAAATCATTTTCTCATGCAAGTATCGGCCGATTTCCCAAAATGAAGGGAATCGGGGCCCCCCTAATTTAAGTACAGGCAGACTGATGAATTATTCTATGGCTATTGCCAGTTATTAGAAATGAAGCCAGCTGATGGTTGATACATAATACCAATATTTATTAATATTTAATTAACATGCATTTGTCATTTAACAAGAATTGCTTAATTTAAATAAACATATTTAACAACTCTTAGAGGAGCATGCACATGGGGGAGTGGTGGCGCAGAGGTTAGAAGGTCACAGATTTGATCCCTCGGACCGACAACATCAAAATGTGGGTGGGAAAGGTGAAGCACCCACACCTGCCTCCACCCTCATTTGCCGCACTCTGGGCCCTTGAGCAAGGCCCCTAACCCCCACCATCTGCTCCTCCAGGTGTCCCAGATAGCAGCTCTCTGCTCCACACAGAGGGCTGTGGTAGCTCGGCGGTCTGTGGATGTGTCAGGAAGAACATCTGGAATAAAATCAATCACCAAGTCTTCGTGCGAGTTGGTTCGCTGTGGCCACCCCTCAAGAAGGGAGCAGCAGAACGAAGAAAAAGAGGCGCATACACGGCAAAAAACATTCTATATAACAGCGTTTCTCACTTAAAAATGAATCGTGAGCTGATTGTGACAACTGCTCCAGCATCTTCGATTTTCTATTTGGTGATTACGGATAGACAGGCATTCTGGCTGCCATTAAAACCAGTTGTCTGATGGCTCAGACTCTTAACAGTCAGTTGGTCTCAGCAGAGCTTTAGCATTGTTGAAGTGGTGTGGAATCATGTTTACCGTGATAGTGACACAAAAGAGCTTTAAAGTGTTCTTCAAGAAGTCTGAGAAACTATTTCCCACACAGTTCTTGAAGAAACTGTGAGAACGTTTGTTCTGTGTCGAAGAATCAAATCGCTCGTACCAAATATTGACTTTCAAGCTCAGAACTGTACGTGTTTAGGTTTGTGGATGCGATAATAAATATCTGCACACATTTCTCATTTCTAACAAACCAAACAAATGAAAGGTGACTTCTTTTTACAGGACCCTACATCCCGTGTTGGCTAACACACAATTTTTAATGACGTGGCAGCTGCCTTCACATGTATAAATAGCTCGTAACCGAATCCTGCTTTCCATGCACTCTCCAACTTACTGCGCTGTTTTCTGTCCCAAATCAATGTTTGTTTGTTTCCGTAAATTTTGTTTGTTTGTTTGTTTGCACTACTTTTCCCCTCAGGAAATGGAAAAACGGTTAGAAGAGAAGCTTCGGATCAGCCAGAGAGAAAAGTAAGGACCTCAAAGCCGAAGGAAACACAAAATGGCCCAAAGATGTCTGTCGCTGTACGTTGGCTTCAGCTTACTTCAAAAACGCTGTACTTCTGTTTTTTGCTACACGTAAATGCCTAAAACACAAACAACAACAAGTGTTTTCTAAAGTGGAAAGTGCATTTATAAAATAAGGACAAATACACTTCATGCCAGCTGTGTAACATAAATTATTTTCAGTGATTCTTGTCATGTTCTCATTATATTAAACCAAACACAGCATGACTCTTCACCGTGCTCTTCATCAGCCTTGTGTCGTACTCTTATTGCCTGTGGTTCCTTTAATGACAAGAAAAACTCCTCCCTGTGCTAATAACTAAATAACTGTTTGTAGGTGGTTGCAATGAGTTTGGAAAAATAAAATACAAACCACCATCGTGTGTTTCACACATCAAACTCAGATTTGTCTCAGATCTGGGCTGTTCTCCTGCCATTTCTAACATTTGTCTGCAGTATGAAAAGTTTGCTCGTGTGAAGTTGTCAAAAAAAAAAAAAAGGAATCAATAAATTAATCTGAGATGGTTTTAGTTGGTTATTTAGCTTTTAATTCAACGCGATCATTTCTCTCCTTTCAGAGAGTCCAGTAATTCTTCACGCTCGCCATTAAAAACAACCATGGTAATACAGGACAACTCGTTACCAGCAGCACCCCCACCTCAGATACGGATTTTGAAGCGGCCAACGAGCAACGGGTCCCTGGGGTCCCCCATGAACCAGAACAGGCCTTCGCCGCAGGTCAAATCTCTGGCCCAGCGGGAAGCGGAGTATGCAGAGGCCCGGAAGCGAATACTGGGCAGCGCCTGCCCAGAGGAAGCTCCTCAGGATAAACCCAACACTGACAGGTAAAACTCACCTGCACAAGGTTTAGGTGGTTTACTCACAACTTAAATAAGCTCCTTTAAACTGCACTGGTACCAAAAAAAAAATGTAGAAGATAATGATGCACGATATTATCGGCATGGTATCGGCCGATATTAGCGATAAATTTAACTATTGGACATTGGCCGTTCCATCAAAATAGCTCACCAATATAAAAGGCGCTTTATATATATATATATATAAAGTCAAGTCAACTTTATTTATAGAGCACATTTAAAACGGAACCTGTTATCAAAGTGCTTAACAACAACAATCAATGAGTAAAATTAAAGAGAAAAAAAATATATATATATACACTTATATATACACGTACAAGTATTATATAAGGATCTAAGATATACACTAACGATAATAAATTAAAATAAGGTGTATTGAGCTTTTATGTTAATATAAATAATCCCATAGTTGAACAACTAACAGGAGGGAAAGAAATCTACATCCCACGTATTTACCTGGTTAAATAAAGTTTTACTGTTTCTCCCTTGACGTCTATGAATGACTGTGTTAACATCATTAAAAGGCTACACATTACGTTTAAACATGGACAGAAAATTATTTTAATACAATAAATATGATGTTTCAAAGCGTGGCGCTTGTTTCTCTGTATGATAGTTTTATAGCTAACTTTAGCTGCTGGGTTGTGAAGAGATGACTTACGAGAAAATATTCTTCCCGGCATATTTTCAAGTCTCAAACTGTCTTCTAACGATGCAAAGTTTGTACTTTGTTAATAAAAATAATTAAGTCCTTTGATTTTTTTTGATTCTCCTGTCGTATCAAACCAATTTAAATTTTAGAGAGACCCGTCTGACGTGAGACTTTAGGGGTTCGGTAAGAAGGACGAGCAGCACGTTGTGAGCAGTTTCTGTCTCGTGGAAAAGACTTGTGGTTCTAATTTTCCTCCTTTCTGCCAGGCCAGGGCGCAATAACTCCACACTGCCTTCAGAGGACTCCAGATCAAACAGTCACACGGTCCGACAGCCTGCCGGCCCTGACGGCACCCAGGGGTTCCGACAGCACAGATAAGTGGGCCTCGAGGGCGACCCAGTCATCGAGGGGAGAGATTAGGAGCTACGTGAGATCAAACCCAGTACTGCTTTCTTGAAACTTCCTTCCTTCAGTTCTCTCGTCGGTCGGGCTGAGACTGTGGCTGCGTCGTTGCCCTCCTGTTCCTTTCTGCAACCGTGCAACGAGCGAGGAGCTCCAGGAGGAAGTGGAATGGAAACCTCCTCTCTCTGAAGTCTGTTTGGCACTGTGATTATAGACATATATTCTGGACTCACTGTGATACCCCCCCCCCCCCCCACACACTTTAAGAGACACCCCTCAGCTCCATCCTTCTCCTCATTCTGTCCCCAGCGGCTCCATCCATGGACGCCAGAAGGGCAGAAACAAAGACAAAAAAAAAGCCGGTTCAACGATGAGTCGATGAGGGGTCGAATCAAAACGAGGGTCTGTTCCTGCCTAGCAGCATCTTCTCAGCAATAATATCAAAACTCCCTTTTTTTGTTGTTTTTAATATTTCAAACGTTAAATTTTTAGTTCTTTTTCTTCGTCGTCACAAGGGATGCACTGATATTTATTGAATACGGATTAAAGTTCTTAAACATCACAAAGAATCTTTATTAAATCAGTATTAAGGTAGTTTAAGAAATAAACATCCTGCAGTTTTAATAAAATAGTAATTATATTTTTATTAGATACTTAAAAGGTGAACTATTTTTGGTTATTCTCATAGTTTAAACTCAGCAGGTCGTGTTTTACATAAAAGTTGCCACTAATGCTGTTAAACTGTTCAAAGTATCAGTGCACCCTGAGATTGTAAAACCATTTGTTTTTAAAACGCAGGTTTGGGGTCGTGTGTGTAATGAGGTATCGACAGGTTTTGTTTACTTTTTTTTTTTTTTTTTTTAAAGCTTTTTAGTTGTTTTCCGTTTTGCAAACTTATTTAAAAGTAAATGCGGTAAAAAAGAAAAGGCGATAGTTGATTTAAATCAGTTTAAGTAGGTTTTCTGCTGAAACGGCAGCACTACAGGAGCAGTATTTAAAGTGACACAAACCAAAAGCCCTTTTTTTATAAAATCAAGAAACTCTTATTTAAAGGTTCGACTTGAGTGTTGCTGTATTTCACGAGCTTTTCTGCTGCGTGTTCACCTTTTAAACAGCGTTGCTCCTGTCCTCCACTCAAGTACATCATGTAGGAACTCAGGTCCGTGGGAATGAAACCGAATGAATGAAATGAACTTCGATTGTATTTTTCCAGCGGGTTTAATTGCTTAAATAACCGTTTTTAGGTTGGCACTTGGAAACCGTGCTCTGTAAAGCAAATTTCAACTGAAATGATGTCCACATCTCGACTTTAGTGATTTTTTTAATTATTTTTTTTATGTCGTTTGCATCTTAGAACTGTTACGTCACCCTCTGTAGGATTGTTCACTGTTAACACAGCAGGACCTGAACCAAAAAGGACTCGACTGTGTGGCTTTCCAGGACCGTCGTTCCCCAACTGATGTTCGTGTTTTTCACCTTTTACTTGTTTAGAGATCTCAAAGCCATATTTAATAATCCAGGATCATCACAAAAAGTTTTCCGGTAGTTTAAATTCAACTCGTGCCTCCTGTCGGATCTTTACTTCCTGGTTGTTTATTTTTACTGCTTTAGTTTAAAAAAGAAAAGAAAATATCTAAAGGGGAATTGTCAATATTGTTAAAGAGATTTTAGTTCAGGAAATGTGGCAGAACAGAGGAGCTTGGATGAGCTCACAACGGAAACTGCCTGTAAATACTGATTTAATAAAATGATTTACTAAAAGTGTGATTTTAATTTGATGCTTATTCAACTTGAACATGTAGCAACCTTTTCCAGAACACACAGAACGAGTACCAGTACATAAAATTAGTTTATTTTATTAAGGTTAAGCTTCTTTGCTGTTTGCACCATATGATTAAACAAAATTGTGTACACAGGGTCCCAGTTACATCCAACAAGAGTGTAAATTGTAAAGAAAAACAGTAATAAGATCTAAAAAATACACTAGCACTAAATGTACAGAAACAATACGACGAACAACAGCAGCACGAACGTGAGTCCGTGTGAGCAGATGAGTAGAAATGAACACGGCAGCGTGAAACAAATCAGCAGCATACGATCAGCAGCATGGATAGTGAGCAGCACATATCAACAACCAAGTGGCATTACAGTGATTATTTTTACAGCGATTATCCTGATTAGAGATTCATGAGTCTAACAGCCTCAGGGTAGAAGCTGTTCCTCAGTCTAGTGGTTCTACACTTAATGCTCCTTAACCTCCTTCCTGAGGGGAGTGGGGCAAAAAGTGTGTGCTGAGTGAGTGGGGTCCTTCATGATGCAGGTGGCTCTCTTCCTGCATCTAGAGGTGTAGATGTCTGTGATGGTGGGGAGACTGACTCCAACAGACTTCTGTGCAACCTTCACCACTCTGCAAGACTTTTCTTTCTGCAGCTGTGCAGCCTCCATGCCACATGTTGATGCTGGAGCACAGGATGCTCTCCACTGCACACCTGTAGAAGGAGGTGAGGACTGAGCTTCACAGACCAGCTCGCCTCACCTTATTGCAGGTGAACGTATCTTTGGTCATTTTGGGAGTGTGGTTCAGACGTCCAGCATGTTTATCTGAAGTGAACGACTGGTTGATCTGTTGGGGTTTGAGTTTGATCAAGCGGCGGCCATGATGCGGAGTCGGACAGAACAACCTTCAGACGTTTGTACTGCTTCTTTGATGGACGCGCTCCACGCAGCCGACGAAGGCAGTTCAACAAACCCAAATCTATCAGCAGCTACAGAAGATAAAAGAAAATAGGAGAACAATGACAAATGTGGGCTTTTTCTTACAGTATGTATCTCAGTTTTGTTAAGATAAAACCTGGTCATACGAATTGCTTAAATCAACATGTACAGTTAAAGATTCAGGGCAAAAACTAACCAAAGCATTAAGGTCATTTGTTAATGCTTCAAACATTTCTTGACACGAGCTTTTCAAAGCATATTTGACATTTTTGTACAAATAATTGGACATTATTGATTTAGATTTCTGTTACATTCTGACTATCATACATGCAATATGTTGGCAGATAATCGACAGAAAAATGTGTTGCCGTTTATTAAATCATTCAAAGCACTTTTTGTTTAACCAACTTGGTAAAGTATTCAGTGAAAATGAACTAAAAATGCTTTGTTTTGTAGATTACTTTTTGTACATTTTGTCAAATATTTATTCTCACGTTATACTTGGATGTTTCCAACATTTCAAATCAAACATAATTAAAAGTATTTTTTCTCATAAATCCATCAGATGGAAGGAAAAATAATGACCTCGCATGAAACGTGAGTTCTCTGAATGCTCATCGTTTATTGATTAAGTCAACAACTACTGTATTTTCATGCAACTTTACATTTACTGACAAACAAATGTCCCTTTGGGGGTGTTGGCATTCAATATAATCTGTCAGGAAGAAAAAAAATGCATTAACCCAATTTTTCATATTATTTTGGTTGTGTATGTCCAGATTGGGCGGTCAGTTGTTTTCCTGACACAAAGACTGTCTTACTGAGTTTGAGTCCAGCTGTACGCTAGTCTTTACGTCTTATTTTGATGGAATTAGCAGACAAGTGCCATGACACAGATGAGTTTGATAAATTAATTTCCCACAACTGAGTTATTTTATTATCAAAGAGGGAATTAAATTATTTTATTGCCTCTTTATTTTTCCATGTCCACACAAAATAACTAAAATTATGAGCCGTTCTTTTCCACGCCCTGTCGACTTTATCAGGGTTTAAAATCAAGCTGAACGTGAGTCCGATTAGCCGTCGTCCACAGTGGACATGTCGCAGCTCCAGTGTGTCACTAACCTCCAGAAGACAACACACCAGAAAGTTGTCAGCAGCCACAACGATGAGCAGCAACCCAAAGATCATATTAGTGAAGTCATAGAGTTGAAGAATTTGGCTGAAGAAAGGACACGGATCCAGCACCAGCCAGGTCATCACAACAAGCTGGAGGACCAGGAAACAAAGAAACATCCCTGGAGGGATGAGAACAATCATCGGAGGCTGAAATATTTAGGGAGTTTCACTTCAAATGTTCAATATACAAAAAATATATTTAACAAAGAAGTCAGTTTAAAATAGATATCTCTGCTCACTCACTGTTGTGGTAGAAAGGTTTATTGTGAGGGTAACCTTTGGTGACCACTGCTGCGATGAAGATATACTGATAACCTGATAATTCAAACACGCAGCTGTTCTCCATGTTGGGTAAATTGTCTTTTCCAAACACTGTTGAATTGAGGGGAATATACCTAAAGTAACATAATGTAAAAAAAAAAAAGACACATCAGGCTATTCAAATGTATTTAAATAAAACATTTCATACCAGGAGGCAACTCAAAGTGCTTCACAGAATAAAACCGTTCATCTTTTTAGCTAACCAGTTCTCTTTGGTGGTGATGAAAAATGCGGCCAGTTGACCCAGGATGATCATGCACGTGTGGAGGAAGAGGCTGCCGAACACAGGCAGGGACCTCAGTCTGCCTGGAGGTCTGCAGGGGTGCAGCTGCTCACTGGGACCTCCTCTCCCAATTAGAAAAACCAGCACAGTTACAAGAAACAAATCACAGAACAGGAACTGGATATCGCCCAAAGTCGTCTTCACCTGGACACAAAAATTATTAAATAATTAGGCACAAAAAACACAGGAGGTGGAAATGCCCGTTATGGTTTAATTGTTTTACAAAATTACTCTCATCGAATTTTATGCCAAAAATGCCTTTTTAGATGGCTAAAAATGCACAATAAATAAATTGCACACATCATAAATTATGACAAACATTGTATTTTAGGACGATGGAAAATAAAGAGTATTTTTCAACCTTTATTTAAACAGGTTAGTCCCATTGAGCCACGAGGACTCATTTACAAGAGAGACCTGGATTTTAACAAAGAGTGACGACAACAGTGGATAACAACAACAAGACATTCACAAATGATTCATACAAATTTAAGTTTGTTTTTTTACAATTGAAAACAGAATGATAATTAAAAGGAGAAAGAAACGTAGCGAAACAGCTAGATTACGAGGCAATATTCTACACCGCCTCGTAATCTAGCTGTTTTTTCCGCTACGTTTCTTTTCTTTGTACGTTTCTTTTTTATTTTATTTTTATAAACTGCACCATACATAACAGCCCTACAAATGTTTTTATTTACAGATATTAAATTTAATACCCGTGTATTTATCACCTCGGGATCTTAAAATAAAAAGCTCTGCAGGTATGGCGTATACCCAACAGGAAGTCTGCCATATCGGTTAAAATATGACATTTTAACACATTTTATTATTTTTGACTTATTTTTAGGAGATCAACTTCAAAACTGATCATTTTATTTTTAAAGCGTGCGTAATAAAAAGTTATCAAAACCATAAAACTTTGCCTTAGCGTGCAAAAACAAGGAAGTAACTGTAACTCGTGCAACGATACATTTCATTAGCACCAACGTTCAAGTTTGATCATGATTGATTGATGTGAGGAGCTCCTTCACGGCAACTCACTGTGTTCAGGATGAGGACGGAGCAGAACTGAATGACGCTGTACAGCACCATGTACCTGAAGAGACTGAAGGACATGACCAGAGAACATCTGCCCTCCCTGCACGGATAAACAAATTTATAAAAAGATTTTCTTTACTGCAGACGCTCTGCTACAGAAGTCAGGTTTGACAGAACGTCAGTGATGTCTAAACTTTCTGTTTATTTCACCTGATGAGCAGCGGCACGCAGCTGATGTTTTCAGTCTTGGAAGTGAAAGGTGAAGCGACCGAAGCTTCGGCCTCAGACAGGGAAACTCCAACATCAGCAGCTTTCAGGGCCCCGCAGTCGTTGGCCCCGTCCCCACACATGCCCACGCAGTAGCTGCCATAACAATAAATGAGAAATATTAGAAGTCTTACTGAATGTCAACCTGCAACCATTGTATTCCTGCATTGCTTATTTATGATTCTTTTAAATAATGATTATGGATTTAAGCTACTATAAGCTGAACTCACTTCAGGCTCTGCAGCTCCTTCACCAGTTGGGCCTTTTGGTCTGGAGTCATGCGCGCAAATACGGTAGCTTTCATTAAAACCTGTAATAACAGTGCCCCATTATTAGAAAAACACTGTCCATTCCCAGTATTTCTTTATCTGGACTAATGCAGCTCACATTACCTTTGGAAGATCCTCAGGAAAGTGGTCACGGAGGGCAGCAAAGGACTTGCCATCAATAGCCAGATGATAGTCAGGAGGACCTCCCTGATGTGAGGGGAAAAAACAAGACCAACAACTAAATGAACACTAAAATACACAAAAGACCAATTTTGTTTGGATCAAGGTGTGTTCAAGGTCATCCCAATAAATATTGATTATAGGAAAAACATTAGAACCATAGATACTATTGTTATAAATTTGTTGTATAACCTAGTTACGTTTATTGCGTTAAATAGATTTAAGTTCAACAGAACCACAAATCTGTTCTTTTAAAAAAATTCTAACTATTTTTGCAGTAATAATCTTCATTAGACATAAACAGCAGCACGGTGACTCAGTTGGTAGCGCTGTGGCCTCTCAGTGAGAAGGTCGCTGGATGGAATCCCAGCCAGGGGGCCTTTCTGGGTGGAGTTTGCATGTTCTCTCCGTGCATGTGTGGGTTCTCCAGGTTCCTCTCACAGACCAAAAACATTCATGCTAGGTTGATTGGTAACTCTAAATAGTTCCTAGGTGAGAGTGAAAGCATGAATGTTTGTCTCTATGTGTCCCTGTGATGGACTGGAGACCTGTCCAGAGTGTTCCCCACCTCTCGCTCAGTGACTGCTGGATATGGGCACCAGTGACCCCCACGACTCAAAAAGGAAGACGTGGGTAAAAATAATGGCTGGATGGATACATACAGACTTAAAGTACTGGACACTATAAAGTTCTTGGACTGGAAGTGTAGTGCAAAGTGTCTGAGAAACACCAACTTGATCCATGTCGTATGTGGAGCTTTGGGCCACTTCATCTTCAAGGCTGAACCTCAAAGTAGGCAAAGACTGAGCTGTACGAGGGGTTGCAGTGACAAAAATCACTTTATCATCAGGTCCCACCATCCGACAGCTTTTTGCTACATTAACAGCTGTAAAAATGTTGTCTCCTGTATGAAAAATAACAAAACAAAGCTAAAGAAGGTTCTGCTATTAAGCAATATATGTTATTGTTGCCAACTGTATGTCTTTATTAAAAAAAAAAGGAGTAAATGTGCAAATGTGGTGTAAATATTTTCTCACCAGTGACCATCAGAGTTCGAATGTGTGCCTTGGTCAGGATGTCAATAACATCTTCAGTCTTGGGTTTTATCAGGTTCTTCATCATCAGCAAGCCCAGAAACTGCAGGTCTTTCTCTACTTCAGCTCTGCAAACCAACACAGAGTTGTGTTAACGTGTAAAGTCTTGTAATTCATTTGATTTTCAAAGGTTCCGTTGATTTTATGTACGCATCAACTTTTTTTAAAACTACATTTAAGAAACGAAACCTTTGTGGGTCTCACCGTTTCATATTCATCAGGTCAGAATTCACATCTACTGGTTTACAGGCGAGTGCAAGAACCCTGAGGCCTTCGCTGGAGAACGTACGCAGTGTGCTGGAGAACTGTGGTGGAACTGCAAACACAAAACATCCTATTTTATATTAATTTGTATAAATTAGTTTGAAGGGGAATAAAAACTGTAAAACATTGTTTCTAAACTTATGTGATGGAAGAGATTTGACTGAACCTGAATCAGCTCCACAGAGACTGGTCACCATCTCTGGGGAACCTTTGACGAAAGCCAGAGCAGAGCGCCCCCCGTGGGCCACCGTCACCACGCTCATCCTCTGCAGGGCGGAGGAGAATGGAAACCTCTGAACAATGGCCACTGCTTCACTTGAGGACTGAGCGCAAAATAAAAGACAAGAACAGAAGCTCAACTCCAGACATGCAAAACATGCTAACGTTGTTTTAGATATTACAAAGTGTAATAACAGAAAACTAAACATATGTCACATGAGTGGACCTCTGGTGATTATTGGCTTGTTAAAGGATTCACTTGGGGCGGCTGTGGCTGAGTGGTTAGAGCAGTCAAAAGTTGGGGGTTTGATTCCACCAGCAGTCACATGCCGAAGTGTCCCTGGGCAAGACACTGAACCCCTCATTGCCTCCGATGTGTCCCATCAGTGTATGAATGTGATAAAGCTCTGATTAATCTTTGTAAAGGTACAGTAGAGTGCTGTATGAATGGGTAAATGAGGCCAAAGACTGTAGTGTAAAGAGCTTTGAGTGTCTTGATAAAATAGAAAGGTGCTATGTAAGTACAGTACTTAAAACAGCCGTGTGTGAGTTTGTGACTGGCCTCCTCAGTTATGATAGCCAGCAGCCATTACTGGTCTTGGGGGAATGAAAGGGAGAAACATCAAATATGTTACTAGACTGTGAATACGGCTCGTCAACCCCTCCTGTCACTCAGCTGATTTCACAGAGCTAGGGCTCTGTTTTCTTTATGTGGATTATTGTCAAGGGGCTGCAGTAGTTCGATGGTCAGCAACCACCAAATGACTACTACAGATACGTACCAGCTTCCCTTGACCCAGAATGGAAAAATGGTCAAAGGAAATGGACGCATGGATGAATGGTTGACTTTTTTTTTTTTTTACCTTTATTTTACCAGGAAGAAATCCATTGAGATTATTAATCTCTTTTACAAGGATGTCCTGGGCAATAATGTTTGAGTACAGAGTGATCCAAAAGTGAACTTGGCACCAGGCAACTTAGGGCCAAAGCTTGACAGTTCATTTTGCACTCCCATCTTCTGGCTGTATGTCGTTAGCAGGACGGAGGAGCGGTGGTGATGTGTTCAGGTGGAACACTGACAGCTGAAGAAAGTTGCAACCTTGAAGATGGCTATACAAATGATGGATGGATGTTAAATTGGCAATATACTCACAGTTCCCTGAAAAAGAGGCTGTTGATTCGAAGGTTTCATCACAGCTAAAACTTTGTGACCTCCAAATTCTGCATGAACAACGTCACCATCTCCCTCTGGTTCCTGAAGGTTCTGAAGAACAAGAAGCATTTGAAAATAAAAATTCTGACAATATTTTCAGTCAAACCACCATTTTTTTGCTGCATAGCAAAAGCTTGAAAATAGATTGACTGGTTCTTATTATGGTTCTCAAATTGTGGTACTAATTAATAGCCATAAGCTGAGCTGTGATAGAACGCTGAAGAGCAGAGATAGTCAAATAAATGAGAGGTTCAGGGACTACAATCTTAGTTCCAAGTGGAATCTACTAGAAAAAACATTTCCTCATCTACACCACAAGTTATCTCAAAGTTGCATTCAGTTGTGGAGCAGAGAAAGAGCCAGAACCGTACGCACTGGTGATGATCATCACAACAAAAGCATGAAACCATCACATGGTTGGCAGCCAAACATACAGTTTCCTTGAACAAATGCTGCTTTTTCCCATAAGGAAGTGCAACAAACTGAAAAAGTTCAACTTCTGCAATGGGTTGGCAAATGACTGTGTCCACCATTAGGCAGAGGACAGTCATTATGGTGATGTCATATTCAACCAGCAGGGTTTTGCAGTGAGTAGTAAGAAGATGTGTGCACATTAAAACAGATTTTATCTTCTGTCTAACAAGATGAGACCAGCGGCGTGACTGGTTACGTCAAATTTAAGCTTCTAAGCTACTGGTTTACAGTGGACCTTGATATTTTCTAACGTGATACCTAGCATAAAAATTGAAAGTACAGAAAATATCAAAAGAGAGAATAAAATATGCACAAGTATCTAGGCCTGTCACAATAACAAATTTTGCTGGGTGATTAATTGTCTCAGACATTATTGTAATAAACGATAATATTGTTTGAAATTTGACAATAATTAGTAATTCTTGTCAAATTTAAGAAGAAATGTTAATTTGTTTTGAGTGTAGTACCTTTTTTGACCACTGGATGGCAGCATAAGACTGTTTGAACCAAAGGATGGATAGTGAGGGAGCGAGCAGCGTGTCTTTAATAAAAAATGGGAGGGAAGCCCTTTGACGTGACATGGGCTGTCTCCCTTTTTTTTGGTTCTCAAAATGGCAGACAATCGATGTGGTTTGAGCTTTTTAGCATAGTATTTGTCACACAAAGCTTTTAATAAAGAAATCAGTAAACAAGTTCTCAGCGTCTTTTAGAAGAGAAAAACAACTTTTTATACAAAGGCACAGGTTTCAACTGTGAATTTTGGAACTTCGACAAGACGGAGTCCCCCCCCCCCCCCCCCCCCGAGTTTGGTCTGTTAGCTTAGCTTGTAGCTTCTCAGCTTAGCTGCTTTTAGTGATCCAAAAATGCAATTTTGGACGGTTAAAATGGATTTTAAAGAGAAAAGAGAAAAGAAGGGGTCAATGAAGAGTACTGGAGTTGAGCTTTATGTCATCCAGTGTCTTCAGTAGAAAGAGAGACACTAAGAAACAATAAAGCCAATAAATGAAAATGATCGACCTCATTTTAATTTCTCATGCGATTAATTTATTTATTGTTTATCGCGACAGGCCTACTGAATTATCTATAACCAAGAATACTGACTAAAATGTGTTTTTAGTTCATCTGGATGCTGCTTATAGTCGAGGACAAATGATGCTAGAATTCATAAGGCATGTTCTTGTAACAAGATGAGGTCAACCAGATCTGGAAATAAACAAAACCAGTTGATTTGTACCATACCCAGCCAGTAGACTCGACCATCTTGAGCTCCAAAATGTCTCCGAGGGGCTGACCTCGCAGTAGTTTAACAGTGTGACAGCAGGCCAGGGCAGACTGCATGTGACCCGGAGGCAGGAGTTTAGGGTCTGGGACCAGTTCTGAGAAACCAGCAGGTCGTCCCTCCATCACTCCCCACACATCCAGACCCTCTTCTGTCAAAGTTCCTGTCTGGGAAAACAAATCTGTCTCAGATCCACTGTTGGTAGCATCAACATGTAAAGAAGACAGACTCTTCTACGCAGTCTGTTAGCAGATCCCAGTCTCACCTTGTCAAAGCAAAAGACTGAGACTTTGCCACTGACGTTAATGCGGGGTGGATTAATACAGAATATGCCGTGTTTCTTTAGCCTTTTTTGGGCATAAATAGTTCCTGTGGTGATGGCAGCAGGCAGGGCAGGAGGCACTACAATAGTCACAATGTCCAGGCATCTAACAATTAACTCCGACCACGTCACCTGGACACACATTGAGCCACAGGTCAGTTGTTACACTCTAATTTTCCAGAAGGTCTGATTATATGTTTTGATCTTACGACCTTTAACTTACATTGGCTTTCAAAAGGATCACAAAAATGTAAATGGTACCACAGGAAGCTGAGGACAGTATTAAAAAATAGAATTAAAACATAATTTGTCTCACTCGCTCACGTAAAGATTACATAAGCTTCTTTTTACACTTTTGGAACATTTGTGAAATTACTGTCAAAGTTTACCAATAAGACCAAGAATGAAAAGGAACTTCATGGCGTCTTTTTGAAAGCTGAAGCTGCATTGTTGAGGGTACATAATGGAGCTAACCAAGTCGCCTTTAGCTGTGAAAAAACCTGCAGAAGAAAGAAAAAAGCTGTCTTAACTTGGACAACAAACATAACGCATTAAATTTTTTTTTATTTATTAGTTAATTTTATTTAATTATTTTAGGCCCTAAAATGTTTCATGTATGCTATCATGCACGCGTGACCTTGTAAGGATTCGTTCATAAACTAACAGCCGTCATAAAATCCTATATACAAACTTACAAACAGAACCCTAAAACATATTAGTTGTCATCAACTGTAAAAAGACAGAGACAAGTCACTGCTCATCTACTAACCAGTGTTTGTTACCACGGCAACAGCACCGTCGCCTCCGGGCCTTCCTCCACTGGCCTGAATGATGTGGGTACCACAGAAAATAGTGTGTCTGCGCTCAGTGTCTGAGCTGTAGGTCCGGTCATCAGCTGGCAGAGAGGTTTTCAGCATGGGAACGCTTTCACCTGAACACAAGATGATGAGAACGAATTATTCAATGATGTCTCACCGGAAAATGAAGACAGTTGTGAGACTGGCCGCAGACAGATTGAGCAACAGAGAAAAACACATTTAGTTCCACGTTGGTTTTTGTGAAACCATCGCAAGTTCACAACAAAAAGCTCAGATTTACAGTCTTAAAAGGAACTTTCTCTTAAATACTTTTTATGTCGTCTGACACTAAGTCAGAAGTAGGGACTCGCAAATACCATACCATTTTATTTATAAAGCACTTTAAACAGTGACAGGGCCAACCAAAGTGATGTACAAACAGAAACAAACAGGCAAAGCACACAGCAACACATAACATAACATAAAATCAAAATATAGAAACAAAATAATAGCAGATAATAACATAATGATTAACACAGTGTGATGCATACAGGTTCAACACAGATCATACAGTGTTGAAAGCCAAGGAATAGTAGTGGGGTTTTAAGCAGGATTTACAAACTGTGAGGGAGGGGGCCTGCCTGACAGGTAGAGGTAACTCATTCCAAAGTCTTGGTCCTGCTACAGAGAAGGCCCTGTCACCTCTGCGCTTAAGACGAGTTCCTGGAACTGTGAGAAGCAACTGGTCCGCTGACCTCAGAGAATGTGGTGGGACATATGGCTGCAGCAGATCAGTGAGATAGGAGGGGGCAGAGCTGTTCAGTGATTTATAGACATACAAGAGTATTTTGAACTGGATTCAAAGGTGAACTGGTAGCCACTGGGAGGCCAAAACTGGAGTAATATGCTCTCTTTTGCTTGTACTGGTTAAAAATCGGGCTGCTGCATTTTGGACCAGTTGCAGTCGTGCAATGAAGGTCTGACTGATACCAAACAGGAGCGAGTTGCAGTGATCGAGCCTAGATGTAATGAATGCATGTATTACTGTCTCCAAGTTATTTTTGGACAATATGGGCTTCAGCTTAGACAGCCGCCTCAGCTGGAAAAAACAGGATTTAACAATCATGTTTACATGATTGTTAAGTTTCATGGAAAGATCCATTATCACTCCCAGATTAGTCAAAGGTCAACTAACACCATTTATTTTAAAGTCAAAGTCCAATTTATTTATAAAGCCCATTTAAAACAGCAGCTGTTACCAAAGTGCTTCACAATAAGCTCCATCCATCTATCCATCCATCCATCCATCCATCCATCCATCCATCCATCCTCTTTACCCGCTTCTTCCTTTTCAAGTTGTAGGGGGTCACTGGTGTCCATCCAGCAGTCACTGTGCGAGAGGTGGGGGACACCCTGGACTGGTCTCCAGTCCATCATAGGGACACATAGAGACAAACAACCATTCACTCTCTCACTCTCATCTAGAGATAATTTAGAGTTACCAATCAGCCCAACACGCATGTTTTTGGCCTGGGGGAGGAAACCGGAGTGCCCGGAGAAAACCCCCGCATGCACAGAGAGAACATGCAAACTCCACCCAGAAAGGCCGCCGGACCGGGATTTGAACTGGGGCAACCTGCTTGCTGAGAGGCAGCAGCTCTACCAACTGATCCACCGTGCCGCCCAAGATCAAGGCAGCAATTAAGAAAGAAAAGACTAACAAGAAGTAATTAAAAGCATCAAAAATAAAATCATAAAAACACAAAAATACTATGAGAAACAATGAAATGCTAGATCAAATCACACTGAGATAAATGACAATAAAAACAGGAGCGTTTTTAGGAGAGATCTAAAAACAGGAAGTGAAGTGGCGTGTCTAATGATGGGGGGCAGATTGTTCCAAAGTTTAGGGCCTGCGAGAAGGAACATATGACTGAAGTAGGTCAGAGAGGTTTGAGGGTGCAAGGTCATTTATGCACTTAAATGTCAATAGAATTTTAAAACCAATTCTGACATGCACAGGGAGCCAGTGAAGAGAGGACAAAACTGGTGAAATGTGCTCAAACCTACGAGCAAATCAGCTGATTTAAGAGCAAGGACACGTTTTCTGTTTTTAACGTCACATTAAGCTTTCAAATAAACACAAAGTGAAACTCGACAGCAGTGAAACAGGTTCTTCTCACAGTTCCTGGGAGTGTTATAAATTACGAAACCAAAACTGTGCACAGTGTGTTTTTACTGTCAGTCCTTGGCCTGACCTGTGAGCATGCTCTCGTTGACGAGACACTCCCCAGCCAGCAGGGCGGCGTCACAGGGCAGCAGCAGACCTTCCTCAGGGATAATTAGACAGTCGCCAGGGACCAGCTCCACTGAGCTCACACTGTCTTCCTCTGAAAACATCAACAAAACAGAGTGAAGAGCCCTGGGTTTAATGTAAAACAACTTTACAGTTGAAGTTTATCGTATTTTCAGACTATAAGGCACACTTAAAATCCTTTAATTTTCTCAAAAATCGACAGTGAGCCTTATGTATTAATTCTGTTTGTACTTACTGACCTTGAACCGATTTTGTGTGGTGCACGGTACGCAAAAATCTGTCAAAATGAACTTGTTTCGCTTAATGCACCTTATAATCCAGCGCGCGTTATAGTCCAAAAAATACGGTAAGTAAACTAAGACAGATCGAAAAAGGTTTTTCTGAATTTACCTCCTGATTCTCTGCGTATTTTAACATCTGTAACCAAGTGGGCCATGTTGTGAAGAGCAATGCTTTGCTGTGAAGTGAAATAAAGTTTAGAAACTTGTTTATTTATACCCAGAAAATAAACCACAACCACACGATCAGACATTTGCTATTCTCTGATGACTTACCTTTCGAGTTTCATAAAGTGAGATACCGATGGAGATAATGGAGATTAAAATTATGCAACCAGCGTAATAATAATAATCATCACACATCCACAAGACAATGCTGAACACTTGAAATACATAGAATGGGTTTAGGACCTGCAGGAGGAGAAAAAAAGCAGAAAGTTAAGGTTGATTACCGGCATTTTCAGCACATTAACGTTTCAAACTATTTCACGTTGCCAGAAAATATGGATTGACTGATGCATGGTAAACAGCTGATTTCAGATTTTGTTTAATTTGAGAAATTTTCCCAGCTTTCCCAGAAACGGGGTTTTATGTGAAAATGATTATTCTTCAACTCACTTCGTCAAACAGAAGCTTCAAGCAAGACTTCACAGGTACGTCAATAAGGTTTTTCCCAAACATGGTTCTCCTGAAATAAAACATAACTTCACCAGTAATTGAATCAGTCATAAATAATTCCACATACACTTTTGTACATCTTCTCCTACCTCATGCTCTGCTCCCGAGGACTCAGCCCCTTTAGGAAGCCATGCAAGTCCTGGCACGTCTGGTCCTCGTTGAGGACACTGAACGAAAAGGAAGATGGAAACGTTTGACACTAGTGTAATTATCAGCACAATAATCATTTTAAAGTAATAATTTGGTATGTTTTTATTTATTTTCTCCCTCCTAATTCATCTGAATAAGCAAAATCAATTAAATAAAAAGTCATTGTGAATGAATTAAATTGTTTTGACAGAACTGGTCAGAGAGTAGTTCTCTCTAATCTCGTTGTCCTTACCCAACAGGACAGAAAGTCTCCCTCCTGTCCAGCCAAACGTAACGCAGCCCTTGAAGCACAAAGTAGCGCAGCAGCGTTTTCTAAAACAGTAAAATACAGTTTAAGGCCTGATGGAGTGTGACTCTGAACATCATTCTGTTTTTATATAAATATATTACTTCTACATTGAGCAGCTGAACATCATCTCTCCACTCATCCTCCTCCTGTTGTCCCAACAGCTCCAAGCTGAAAGAACGAGCCGAGTAAGCAGTATGTATGTGTCAGCTGTTTTTAAAGGTTGAAGGTAACTGGTAAAGAAAAAATAAACATGGGGCTCACCAGCCCTCCTCCATCTCCTCTGTCCGCACCTCCACCACATGTTGCAGGCCAGAATCATCCTGACAGAGAAAATATGCAAACATAATACATGAGCACCGTATTTTCTGCCATACAAGTCACACCGCCCTATAAGTTGCATCAGTCCAAATACATCTAATAAAGTGGAAAAATCCATAAATATGTTGCATCGCCGTATATATCGCATCTATTATGCATCACTGCTAACATGCCTTGTTTGTAACATGTCACCGCTGACAACCTGGAAACGCAGGCCGGTGTTGTGCCAAAAATCGATTGGCTGCCAAATGGCGGCACGGGAGGACTTTAACAAGAATTTAACAAGAGTAACACTTAAAAACAATTATTTGTTTGCTCGAAATTATAGCAAAGGTGTGTCTCAGTCTAACTTTTTCATAATAAATGCACTTTGATGGTCAAATCAGCTGCATTTTCAAAAGCCGATACACGGAAGTAGGTGCGTGTACAGGAGGAATCGCTGTGCATTTCTTAGAAATTTAACAAGATAACCACCTAAAAACAATTATTTGTTTGCTCGACATTATAGCAAAGGTGTGTCTGAGTTGAACTTTTACCTAATAAATGCACTTCAATGGTCAAATTAGCTGCATTTCGCCGGGGTGGCACAGTGAAATGAAGCTGATTTGACAGTTGCTCCAGGCAGACGACGGTGGCAGGGTATGGCAAGCCGATTGTGTCATTAATAGCCACTTTTACCTATTACATGATACAACGGCATGCCATACTCTCAACTGCCATCTAGCAGCTGAAAATGGTAGTGTTCCATATTTTCAGTCAGAATTAATGAAAACGTTCATATCTCAGCCATAAATTGGTTTATAAATATGATAAAAAATTCATAAATACATTGCTTCGGCGTATAAGTTGCAGGGCATGCAAAACTATGCAAAAAACTGCGACTTATAGGCCGAAAAATACGGTAAATGTGCTGAGCTGCTGTGGAGTAAGTCTTTTTGATCATTTGGCAATTTGAGTCACACACGAGCAGAAAAACATGAAAAACAAACTTTCAACTAAGAACAATGGGTTGGTGCCGTACAACCTGGAATTTCAACTGATTTTCTATAAAACTAACACAAAAAACTTCAGATGGGTTAAATGGGGAAAACATTGTTTTGTTGTTGTTGTTGATGTTTATTCTAGAAGACAGAAAAAATTAAATGGTGCATTCCTATGCATTACTGCTGCATGTTTCCTGTAATACAAGGTGTCAAGTGGGTTTTAATTCTGCACATGGTCGGATTTTCTTACCGTGAGCAGCAGAATTTCTGCCAAAGCCAGCGGGCAGGGGCGGCAGCGGGCGAGGACACCAAGCCGAGGCCTCCAGTGAAAAACAATCAGGGGGAGGACTGCCAGACGACACAACCACACCTGCCAACGCAGCCATTTATACCCCTGGCAATCCTGAGGGAGCAAAGAGTCACACAGTCCATTCAGATTCACAGAAAACACTTAAAACCAGTTCATCCAGCACATCTAAAGTGATGGAAACCGGGAGACTATCTGGATTTGTTTTTGTCTTATGTTTGATGGTCTTTTTATGTTTATTATTAGTTTTGTTCTCTCTTTTTGGTTATTATGTCTGCTTGTTCTGTGCTGTTCCGTTCATCTGTGTTTCCGCCAAGCCATTAGTCAGTTTCTGTTCCTCAGCTCTGAGCTCAGCATTTTTTTCCCAGTCAGCCTGCCACGCCCACCTACACCTGCTCTCTGTCACCTGCCACAGCTGCAGCCACCTCCCTCATTAACCCCATTAGCCCATATACCGGTAGTTGCTCTACCTGCATTCATCACTCAGTGGAGCATTGTGTGTGTTCTCACACTACGTCCTGTTTCATCTGTGCCTCCCCGTGACTCTTTGTACCTCCTTCTGAAGCCCATCCTAGGCTTTGTTAGTTTTTCTACACAAAATAAAGTTTTACTTATTTTTGGATCTTCTCGTGTCAGTCTAGATTCCTGGGTCCAAACTACACAAAACGTGACAAGAGACAGGTTCCTGGCCCAAAACTACACAAACAAATCTCACTGGTACTACCTCTTCACCTCAGGTGTTTGAGTCTGCATGTCGCCAAAACTGAATTTGTCATATTGATGCTCACTGTCTGTTTAGCTGAAACACTGAAGAGGATCCTACCATGTCTGAGTCAGAACTGAAGGGGGCTCTTGTTGATGGGGGATGTAAAGGTCATGGATGTTTTTCACTTACTAATGTCAAAAGTTATAGAATCATGTGTGTGAGTTAGAGTTGTTGAATGAAGTGGAGCCTGTGCAACTGATAAACTTCAAGGCCCTAAGCTGGAAAGCAGAGTTGTCTTGACCTCACCTTCTCTAATAATCATATAAGTTGATGCTCCTGTATGTTGTCCGCTGGGCAGACTTTGTGATCCGGGCGTCGTGTAACATCTTGTATTCTGGTTTCCAATCACTGCACTCACCTTGCAAGGGATTAAACCTGGGTTGAAAAGATCTTCTCCTTTCCTGTGTGGCATTATGAGTTGATGAAAGGATAATTAAATTATCCAACACGTGTTCTGGAGGTCCACTCTGCGGATCATCAGCACCACCCGAGATATGCTTGGTTAATACCGTTTATAGATTAGCACGAACACAAGCCTACAAAGTCAATTTAACAAAAGATTCACTTCAAAGTTCTTCTTGTATGAATCTTTTCATGCCTTAAAGGCTCATGTCCAAAAGATGTCCAAGTGAATGAGGTGCAGAGGAGACATGGGTATGTTGAATTTATCAACAGCAAAAAGTATTTTTAAGCTGCCACTAGTAAAGGACATCAAGTAGATATGAGATGGGGAACATCTGCATAAGACGTCCAGCAAACATAAAATAGTGCCGTATGTCATCTTTCATTTCAGCTATTTTTTTACTCCTTGTAAGAATCTAAAAGTCCATGCCCATGCTTATTTTACAGACTCATTTTTCTCTCTCACAGTCTACATATATGTATGTATAAGTATATAGTCATCAATAACCCTGGCAGCACACTTGTGGCATTGTTTGTACAAGTAGCATCAAGGGAAGGGAGGGAAGTCTGAGATTGTCATCATTGTATGTTCCCATACAATATTAAAATCAGTTCTCTGCATTTAACCCATCACACGTGGGATACACCCAGGTGGAGCCGTGGACAGCTATGTAAGTGCCTGGGAAGCAATTGGGGATTGGGTGTCTTGCTCAGAGACACCACGAAGTTTGGGAAAAGCTGGGAGTCGAACCAAGACTTTCTGGTCCCAAGTCGGCTGCCCTACCTATACCCCGTTCTCGGCCCCCATCAAATTCCAAAAACAATCATCAACCTCATTCTGAAGTAAAGCTCTTATTGAAATGATGATACAATCGTGTCTTTCAGCACTGAGGTTGATGAATCCCACCTTGCTGAACTGCTATCCTTCTGACTGAAAACTTGTTCAACCGACTTCTGGACAAATGGGATCCACATTCAAAGAAATGTTAAAGCTGCTGTCAGTGGCTCATTGTGGTTTCCATGGTAACCACGCACCTGTGTCTGTCACTCCCTGACTGCCAAGTTACCGAGACAGGCAGATAAAAATATAGACTAAAAAGTACGTCTCACAAACAAACAGTCGCTGTGTGAAAACTAGAATTCAAATCTCACAAATTCTTGAGTATTAGGAGCAGAGTAAAACAAAGCTACTAAAACTAGACACCAGGTGGGGGTGTTTTCCAACACAAGGTCAGAAAATCAGCTTCTCTTTGAATTTTTGTCTCTATTTTTAGTTTCATTTTTGACTCCAGCCTATAGCTGCAGTGTTTTTGTTCAATAACCTGACCAGGTTTTGAATTACAGGAAGTACAAATTAACGATGATCACGGTCAGCTCTCGGATATATGTGCACGCACATATTTAATTTGACACAAAAAGTCAGAACTAAATGACATTTTCACCTTAATCACAAGGAGTTGTTCCTAAAGTTGATATCTGAGCTTTAAAACAAAACACATTATGTTATAGCTGAATTTTAAAAGTAGGGAGCCCACAACATTAAAAAAGTTACTTACCTCAGTCACAAAAACGTGTCTGATGTGAGACTTCATTAAGTTATTAGGACCAGAACCAGCAGTTAGCTGTGAGAGGGTTCTGTAGCGGCTGCCTGTTGTTTCAGTTCACAAATTTTAAAGATAAGTCTGAGACATCTTCTTCCCTCATCTGTGTCAGTCTCCTCTGAAGAAACCCCGAGTGTCTGAGAGAAAAAGCCACACAACCCAACCCAAAGTCTGACTCTTGACTGTTTCAGTCACTGCTTCCTTTCTTCCACCTGAGCAAATGACGTCCTTTCTGAACCAGCTACTTTCATTTTCTGTGGCCGTGGGCAGCGAACTTTGGAGAACAACAGAAAATTAAAAACATCAGAAGTCAGTAAATTTATGAGGAACTGGGCAGTTGTGAATCACATGAGATTTATGTGATAGATCAAAGACAACAAGTGTTGAAATGCGGCATTTCTTCATTTTTACGCTCCGTCTTGCTTCAGCAACTGTAATGGTGGAGACAAATTCAGAAAACATCCTATTTGATCCATGAGAAATTCCCACTTTCCAGATATAGCATTAAATATTGAAATATTGAGTTCAGTTCATCCCGCCTTCTTTTTCTTTTGGCTTTTCCCTCTTCAGGGGTCTCCACAGCAAGTCATCCTCCTCCATCTCTGTCCTCTGCATCCTCTGTCCTCACTCCAACTACCTCCATGTTCTCTCTAACTGCATCCATATATCTCCTCTTTGTCTTTTTTCTGGCAGCTGCATTTCTAACATCCTTCTACCAATAATACCAATTCACTGTCCCTCCTCTGGACATGTCCAAACCATCTCAGTCTGGCCTCTCTAACTTTATCTCCCAGTTGTTCCACCTGTGCTGTACCTCTGATGATCTCATTCATAATCTCATCCATCCTTGTCACTCCTAAGGAGAACCTCAACATCTTCATTTCTGCCACTTCCAGTTCCTTCTCCTTCTTTTTGCCCATGTCTCTGTCTCCAGACCATACAGTATAGCTGGTCTCACCACTGTCTTGCAAACTTTTCATTTGACCTTTGGTCAACCATGTTGTCACAAATAACTCCTAAAACTTTTCTCCATCCACTCCATCCTGCCTGGACTCTCTTTTTCACCTCTTTACCACACTCCCCATTTTCTGGACATTGAACCCTAAGTACTTGAAGTCCTGCACCTTTGTGACCTCTGCTCCTTGTAGCCTCACTGTTCCACCGGCCTCCCTCTCATTCACACACATGTACTCTGTCTTACTACGGCTGACTTTCATTCCTCTTCTTTAAAGTGCATGCCTCCACATCTCCAAGTTCTCTTCCACCTGTTCCTTGTTCTCACCACAGATCACGTCATCTGCAAACATCATCGTCCATGGGGATTCTTGCCTGACCTCATCCGTTAGTCGGTCCATCACCAGAGCAAACAAGAAGGGGCTCAGAGCCGATCCTTGATGCACTCCCACCTCCACCTTGAAGCTACCTGTCACTCCTACAGCACATCTCACCACTGTCCTGCTGTCCTCATACATGTCCTGTACCAGTCTAACATACTTCTCTGCCACTCCAGATTTTCTCATGCAATACCACACCTCCTCCCTCGGCGCCCTGTCCTATGCTTTTTCTAAATCCATAAAGCCACAATGGAGTTGTTTCTGACCCTCTCTCTGTACTTCTCCATCAGCATTCTCAAATCAAAGATGGCATCAGTGGTGCTCTGTCTTGGCATGAAACCATACTGCTGCTCACAAATAATCACCTCTTGTCTAAGTCTTGCTTCCACAACTCTCTTCCAGATTGTCATTGTGTGGCTCATCAACTTATTTCCCCTGTAGTTGCTACAACTCTGTACATCACCCTTGTTCTTAAAAATGGGCACCAGCACACTTCTCCTCCATTCCTCAGACATTTTCTTACCCTCAAATGTGCTCAAAAAAATATTTGAGTCAAAAACCTCACTGCCAAGGAGGATTCAAGATGGCGACGACAAGATGTCACATTTTTTTGTCGGCCTCCCGTTGGTATTGATTAAAACTGCCTTTATATAAATATTCTGTGAAGATGTCTCTGCGTTGGATTCTTCTGAAGTCGGCACTGTTGCAGGATTGAATCGAGAGAGCTGCAATAGACCTCCAAATTCAAGGGCGTCAGAAGCATCCGTAATGTGGGGGAGACACAATGATGTGTGTAGGTGTGTGTGCGCGTGCACGTGTGCACTCACGTTTAAAAAAAAAGGTGTTCACTAGTGAACAAAAAAGCAGCATTTCACCTAGATTTCCTTTAATTCCACACATTTAAAGCATGTTTCTCACCAAGTTTGTGTAAATTCATCTGTGAGTTTTAAAGACATTTTAACTTTAATACACTTTAACGCAGAGTGTCAGATCGGCACTATTTGTCTTTATAGAGAAATAAAAACATCACCACTGGACTTTTTTACTTGTGTTCAACACTACTCATCTAAATGACGTTTCTCATGAAGCTTGAGGACAATAAGGTGTGGGGTTTTAAAGACATTTCAATTTTAATGCACCTGAACACAGCGTCTCTGACACCTGCAGCGTCTCACAGCGTCACAGTTACTGCTAAGCTAAGACAGACGTAGCACTCCACTTCTCTCCTCCTAACATGATTATATGTTTATGATCAACCCCCTGGTCAACAACTGCCCGCACTAAGCGCGCTAAACTTGCGAGTGAGTAACACAGGTACCTCCACCTCCTCCACCTGTGCGAGTTTTCTGCCAAGGCAAGAGGCAGGAAGGGACGGTGGAGAGTTGGAGGTAACCAGGAAAACCTGGAGTGGAGTTTTAGTGGCTTGAGTATTCTCCTATTAATAAAGTGGAATGGATTTGTTCACGCAGAAAGAGAAACTGCGTCGCCTGAACTAATGTTTCATAGTAAAAGTGTGTGTGTGGGTGTGTGTGTGGGGGGGTGGGGGGGGTGGGGGTTCCAAATGAATGCTTTTTTTAATGTGGGGGGACTTGTTCCCTTCACATATAATGGTTGCGATGCCTAAGTCCAAATTTAAGAAATCGAAGGCTGCAAGCCTGCGAGCTCTGTGCCCGCTGGGCCCACGATGCTTCTGGAACAGGAAAATCGGCTCCGCTTTTGCCAGGCTCCAGAGAGACAAATGAGTCGGCCCTGAAGTCAGACATTTTGGCTTCAATAAAAACTGAAGTTTGGGTGATAATTAGGATGGAGATGAAGGCTGCACTGACAGAGGATTTTAACTTTATCAAGAGTGAGCTCCAAGCGGTGAATGCAGAAGTCATTAACAGCATCATGGCCCTCAGAGCAGCAAGTGAGGCTGAATGTGAAGGAAGCTGAAAACAGGATGTCTAACTGGTCAGATGAAGTTGAAGTTCTGCACGGTACAATGGCAGGACTGAAGAATGTGGATGGGCTGAAGAAGAGGTGTGAGGCTGTGGAAGGGCATATCAGAGTCAGAGTTTCTTTATTGTCATTCG